GTACCTGCAACAACCGGAGGTAGGTCAGGCCACCGTTAGGAGCCCGCGTCTCCCACTTGGCTGGCAGAGACTCAGGCACTTCAGGCACCACCAGCTGCCTCCCAGGAAGGAAATAGGAATCAGATGAGCCAAGCTCGAACCCACACTCCAGTATGGGATATGGGATGGGAGTCACAAATGGCTGTGCCTTCAACTAACTTGGGAAAGTTCTTTCCTCTTGGTGATGAAGCCCCTAAAATGGCATACTCTTTTCAATTCAGCTACTGTAGAGTTTGGTTTTTAAATCCAGAAGTGACTTTTCTTGCTTTCCAGGAACCATGGTCATAGTTGGCCCATGGCTACTCGCTCCAGCCTTGTCCCCCCAGCACAGAAGCAAGCGGCCATCCCAGCAGAGGAACCACTGGGCCTTCGCCACTCTGCAGTGCGGGGAGCGGGAGGTTTATTTAGGGAATAGCAACCATCCTTTCCTGCCCGGCCCACCCAGATGAGTAATAAGCCACCTATTTTTAGCTCTGAGTTTTGTTTTCCTTTTTCTTTTCCCTTTTTAGAAATTTCCGCAGGCTCGCTTCCGGGGCAGAGCCCTGAAGTTGCCAGTTGATTTACAGCTAAAGGACAGTGTGCCTCAAGTGTACTTCAATTGTAATTCCCTCCCCTACACAATTTGCCTGCAATAATGTCAATATTCTTTTTAAAAAGATTTTATTTATTTTTATTATAAAGTCAGATTTACAGAGGAGACCCAGAGAAAAAGATCTTCCATCCGCTGGTTCACTCCCCAAGTGGCTGCAATGGCCTCAGCTGCACCAATCCAAAGCCAGGAGCCAGGAGCTTCTTCTTGGTCTTCCACAGGGGTGCAGGGTCCCAAGGCTTTGGGCTGTCCTCCACTGCTTTTCCAGGCCACAAGCAGGAAGCTGGAAGGAAAGTGGAGCAGCTGGGATATGAACCGGCACCCATACGGGATCCTGGTGTATGCAAGGAGAGGACTTGAGCCACTAGGTTACTGCACCCGGCCCATGTCAGTATTCTTTGCTCAAGAGAATACCTACAAAGGCTGGTCATTGGCACCCCATCAGAGTCCCTCCTGCCAGGAATCTGCCCTTCCTCGGCCTGCGCATTTACTCCCAGCAACACCCATGGACTGTCTCAGGAGAGTTGGGCTTCCCTCCTTGTCCAGCAGGAGATAATCTGACTCATAAATAAATATCAACTTCTGGTTCTAGCACATCCAACATTATGCACGTGTCTTTTGCTGTATGATCCTGTTTTTTCATCATACAGATTTATAGCATAGGTTTCTCTATCCTAGATACACAGAGAGAGAGAGAGAGAGAGAGAGAGGGAGAGAGAGAGAGAATTTCCATCCCCTGATTCCTGATTCACTTCCTAAACCACTAAAATGGTGGGGGCTAAGTTGGGCTGAAGCTGGAACTTCTAGGTCCATCCATGGGGGGGGGGACCAAGGACTTGGACAATCCTGTGCTGCTCTTTCAGGCACATTAGCAAGGAGCTTGGTTCAAGTGCCCACCGGGGACTCAAACAGGAGCCCATTTGGGTTCCAGTGCTGCAAGTGGAGGTTTTACTCAGTACGCAACAACACGGCCCCGGTTTCTCTTTCCTTACATGCTCATTCAGTCTTGCCTGCTCCCTTAGCTCTGTGATTATTCATCATCTGTTATGTGGCAGGCACTGGGATAAAGAGAGGTGCAAGCTGCTCACAGTCTAATGAAGGCTCGTGAGTATAAATGACAATATGCTGTAGAAAATGCAAGGCCAGAGACACACAGCAGTCCATGGGGGACCCTCAGGCACTCCTGTTTCCACTTCCCTCTTCTTACTAAGCATTGCCTCCAGCTGCCTAGCCTTCACCACCTGCAGATTCTTCCAGCTTCTCCTGCAGCCAAATGACTTCATGGCTTCTCTTCCCTGGCACTACACACACTGGGATGGAACCAGGACACCTTTGGAGGGTGTTAAATCCCATGAGAAAGCACACAGGAGAGGAGGGAGATCCACAAACATCCCCCCAGTGTTACAGCTGAAACAAAAGATTGTGGGACAAATGCATGGATGCCTAAGTACTGAATGACTGCATAGATGGTTGACTGAGTGAATCACAGAACACATTTCCAATCTTTGAGCAAAACTTGAACTTGGGAGATTCTAAACCTTTGTGTTTGTACATTGAACACCAAACAGAACAATCTCCACAGCAGTGTTTATTTTGAAAGATTAAAATGATAAGTTCACTGAGGATTTTACAATGGAGATGAGGAAAAGGAGCTCCCAGAACTTGAGCTGGCTCCTGAACGAGAAAACTGAGTGGGCTCATGTTGTGTAAGCAAGAAGCTCCAGCATCCTCTAGCCAGAGCCTTGGAGAGGGATGGGTCACTGGGCTGCAGAGAGAGAGAGAGAGCGAGAGAGAGAGAGAGAGAGAGAGAGAGAGAGAGAGAGAGCGTGCTACAAACAATGACATCACCTTGTGGCTTCTTGTGTCTGCTAACAGATGAGCCATCCTTATCACTGGCTAAAAAGATTTTTGTGTCAAATCACTGTCCCTGGTCAGCAGTGCAGACTTTCCTTCCAAATGAGGCAGGGAGGATCCAGGGCTTTCTTGGATGTGGCAAATGGTGGCATTCTAACCTCAATGCTGTGTCAAGTTGGAGAGGAACAGGATGAGAGAACGCATAACAGGTGGGGAGCCCCAACGTGAACATCTGGTTTTCTAGACGTTCTTGAAGGCTTCCAGGTTCTCGGAGACAAACTGTTGGAAGCTTTTGACTTTAGGGTATAGACGGCGGGTAAGCTCAATATTTCGGTCTGGCCTCTTTTGCAAGAAACGACACATATTGGCTAATCCCTTTGCTCCAAGGATGCTCATCTTCTCAAAAGCCTCTGGGGTGATCTGTTCAGCAAACAGTACAGAATGTTAAAATCCACATTCAAAATAGTTCTGAAAAGCTATTCCTTCACAAGTCCACAACTGCCACGTCTAATTCCAAAATCTAAAGTCCTTTTCTCAGAAAAACGTGCCGCAGCAAACTGACTCTTCTAGACACGTTTAATTTTTGTAGCTAAGAAGTTAGAAGCTTAGTGAGTTGTCAATAGAAGACTGTGGGGGAAGCATGGAGGATGAGTTTGAGGGTCTGTAGGTCACTTTGGTAGCTCTGATAACTCGCATGTCTCAGGAAAGCAGGGAATTCCTGGGCTGCACATTTTCAGCACAGAGAACGCGTGCTGTTGAGTCTCACTGTGAGAGCCATGCTCTGCCAGGGTCAGACACATCCTCTCAGCTAGAGCAGAGTTCCTGATGGCCTTGTGTTCTGGCCCTGCCTTCCCTGAGGCAGAAATGGAGGCCCTGGGAGATGGAGGACGTCAGACTGCGAGTCACAGAGCGCCACCTTGTGGCAGGCTGCGTCCTCCCCAGAAGTAGCATAGCAACTGCTCTTCCCCGCTGGAACCTTGGTCAACCTTGTTCCTAATATCAGCATGTGCCATTGTGTGCAACTTGGAATCTGCAAGGCCCTAGAACCTTGGATGCGGTGGCAGCTTCAGCTGCCTTGTGAAATGCCTTGATGTCCCAAGAGCAGCTGGGGTGGCTGGGAGATCCTTGGTAGGTTGTGAACCACTCAAAGTAAGCCATCCCTAGCCTCTGAACAAGAACAAAGTCCCATAGCACACCCCATAGCGCAGCCCCACATGGCTTCCTCTCCCTCTCTTTCCTCCCCGCCCTGGGGGCTAGTGCCCTAGGAAAGGTCCTTGGAAGTCAATTGACACCCCAGGACAAGGGACCTTTGAGACCTTCTAGATCCGTCTCCAACTTGGGTGGTTACCTCTTTCGCCTCAGGAAGCAACTTATTTTCTCTACCAATGCTCTGTGACTGAGTGAGACACCGAGACGTCATTTTGCCACTGAACTGACACCTACAGTCATTTCCCAGAAAAAAAAAAAAAAAAACGACCTCTTAGCCTCTTTACAATTCTGAATTGGGAATCTAGATGACTCCCTAATCCTTGCCAATCCAAACGAGAAACATCCTTTTATCTCACTGCAGCAAACTTTTGTGGGTAGCTGCTGGCAGCATTGTTCTTACAGGGCTGGATGCAAAGAACGCAGGCTGGTGGGCCAACAGGTCTCTGTCACCACCACACAGCTCTGTTGAGACCTCGTGAAAATGGTCTGCATGGGAAATGGCTAGTATTGTTCTCACCTTTCTATACAAAGTCTGCCATAGTCACGCTCTAGTCTAGTCTAGTTGAGACCCACTGGGTGACAGACACAGTGCCATGCGTCTGCCACATGCATCTCATGTCATCCTCCCAACAATCCTACTTAACAGGTCTAATAATATTTTCTGAACTCGCTTTCTGAAGAAACCAAGGAGAGGAGAGATTCAGAAAGTTGTCAAGATGCCACACAGAGAGTGACTGAGACACCTGTATGCCACATCAGAATACCTGGGTTTGGTCCCCATTTTGGCCCCTGATTCCAGCTTCCTGCTAACCCAAACCACCCTGGAAGGTAGAGGCAATGACTTAAGTAACTAGGCTTCCGAAAGCCATGTGGGAGACACAGATTGTTTTCCTGGCTTGGGTTCAGCCCCAGCTGTTGCAAGCAATTGGAGAGTAGACCAGTGTATAGGAACTCTTGGTCTTTGTCTCTGCTTTCAAGAACTAAACCAAACATATGCTACACAACTAAGATGTGTTTCTTCGCCCGCTGCCTCTGGTTCACTCGTGCTGAAAACAGAATCCAGCCAGACCAGGGCTACCACAGTTCCAGAGGTCAAAGGCATAATGCCAACACCAGGTTTGCTTTGGCAAAGGACACCCCGCGGTGGGAGCACCTGGGAGAAGGACCACAGAGTGAGGGATGGGCCAGTTCTGCACTTGTGTAACAATCCCTCTGGTGGAAAGTGATTCAGTGTCCCACAAGACCAATCTCAATCCCTTCTGAGGGCAGTGTCCAAGGAGCTGAGGGACTCTCAGGGTGCCCTACTTCCCAAAGCCCTACTGCCTCTCAACACTCAACACTGCCAACTTGGGGCTCAGATCTGTGGCTCCTGAAGAGCTGGGGTAAACAAACCACATCCCAATGGCAGCAGCTCCTGTATCTTCTGACAGCCAGTCATGGGAGCCTCGGTTTTCACCCCTGTCCTGTCAAAAATCCTTCTTCAAAGTAGCCCTAGGTATATACCAACTGCTTGACATATATCTACCATGTGCCAAACATCATGGCAAGCCCTCTCAATAGGCTGCTATCTTCTGCAAGCAGACGTGACTCTCCCCACTCTGCAAATAAAGAAGCCGAGGCTCAGAGAGGCCAGGTGCCTTGCCCGGGTCAGCCAGTCCTGCTGACTGCAGTGACCAACAGTGAGAGCTTAGGATGGAGGACTGGAATGGTGCAAGAGGAAAAAACTACATCTCAGTTTTCAGATCCTAGGTTCATTCCACCCAAGTGTAACTTCCCTTTGATGCACTGAACAGCCTTAAGCCAAAGGAATAAAGCTCCAGGCTAGAGCTTCAACCACACCAACCAACACAGACAGACTTGTGGAACTACAGTCCTCCTCCGTGTCTTCGGACAGGCTATGCTCAACCCTGCCTCCACACACCCAAAGCCCTACAGTATCTTCTAAGTTGGCAGGAATGTTAGCCCACAGGGTTCCCCAGGATCATACAATGCCTTCTGAGAACTCACCTTTGAATCTCGGATATCTTTCCCCAAATTCTTAGCCAAAATGTCAGCATATTGTTGCATTGTTAGTGCTTCTGCACTGAGGCCCACAGTCTTGCCTATGAACTCCTCCGGAGAATTAAACATGTCAGACATGATGATTCCAGCATCCACAAAGGAGATGCTATCCAACGGTGCATCCCCCATGGGCAGCTCTAGTTTGAAAACACAAATAAACAAGATTACACAGTTTAATTACATCACCTCTACTAGCCAGAAGGAAGCAACCATGTAAGCGGAATGTGGGGTGCAGTGAGGAAAATCTCAGTGGGCACAGCTCCACACAGCCATCACATCTGCACCCCTCAGTTACACAGCTTCTGTGTGCACAATAGGATTCCTTATAGCATCAGCTTGGAAATCCCTGCTGAATATGTCCGCCTGAATGTGTCTACTGCCTCTTGCCAATAGAGAAGTTAGAGTGATCTTGTCAGCTCATGTCATTTCTGCCCAAAGTCCTTCACAGCTCTGTGTCCCTGTGAGGAAAAATCAGTGATTTGCAAGGCTAACTCAAGTAGACCTTCAGTTACCTCTGACTTCACTCCTACCAGCCTTCTTGCCCTTGTTCTGTTTAGCCACACAAGCAGCTCCCTCTGCCTGAAAAGCTCTTCCCCCTAGTATCCACAAGGCTCCCTGCTGCCTCCGTCAGAGCTGAATGGCAGTTCCTTAAAGAGAACAATCTGGTCATACTCTTTACATTCTGTCCACATCCCATGTGGGCACCGGTTCAACTTCCAGTTTCTCCACTTATGAACCAGCTTCCTACTGATGCTCCTGGGAAACAGCTAAGGTTGGTCCAAAGACTTGGGAGACTGAGACCCATGTGGGAGACTCGGATGAACTTGTTGGCTCCTGGTTTCCAGCTGTCCATTTCTGGCTATTGCAGTCATTTAGGGAACCATTGCATGAAAAATATCTCTCTCTCTCTCTCTCTCTCTCTCTCTCTCTCTCTCTCTCTTGCTCTCTGAAACTCTGCTTTTCAAATAAATAAACAAATACATGTTTTAAATAAATCAAACATTTCCCCACCCCTTATTCTACCCTACATTTTCTGTAGCATTTGTCACCTTATTGCATATCATAGAGTATTTATCTATCATGGTTTTTGTTTGTTGCCTATCTTTTTTTAATATAATTTTTTTCATTTTGACAATCTTTACATAGTTAATTTGGGCAAAAAGGGTCAAGGGCTACAGGAAAGTGGGTAAGACTATCATTTCCATATTGTTTCCTTCATATATCTGAGGTAGAGGGGTATATTGAGGGAGAAGCCCCACCTGGTTTCCCACCCACCCCAAGTCCCGCATGCGGGGCATGCTCCGAGATACTCGTTGAAGTGGTTTCAATAGGTCAACAGTTTTGAAATTGCTGCCAATCTTGCCTCTCCAAATATGATGAGGTTGTTGGAAAATCCATTAATTGACATTGTCCATCATAGTGTCTCTATTTGCCCAGTATTTTGTTGGCAACCTATAGCTGAGGTGGTTGATTAACTTGTTCCATCTTCTGTCCCTTCATGGTTAGGGTTCTGAGTCTGGCATTTCAATTGGGGAGATCACCAAAGAAACTTCGTTTGAGGTGTTCCCAGGCCAGATACTTGCATGCACCAGCAAGCACAGGGCCCAGCACAGTCCATCACCCAGTCAGCTGGTAGTTGCAATTGCTGGGTTGGTTCTGTTTTCAGCCCCACCTTCTACTGGAACCAATGGGTGTTGCAGTCCAGCCTGGTTCTGCACAGCACATACTCGGTCTTTACCCAGAAGGCAGCAGCCCTGGAGCCCCGGCAGGCCCAAGCCCAGCTCACCATGTGCCCATGATGGCGGGCATATGGGATCCGGGCATGAGACACCCTGTCCCAGGACCCACCCACTGCCGAGAGGCGATGGGAAGTTGTTTGTTGCCTATCTTTCTACTAGAATATGAGCTTCAGGGTGTTAGTTGTGTCTATTTTAGTTGTTACTGATTTTCTTCTTAAATTTATTTTATTTGTATTAGAAAGGCAGATTTACAAAATGAAGAAGATACAGAGAAAGATCTTTCGTCCTCTGGTTCATTCCCCCAGTGGCCATAATGACCAGAGCTGAGCCAATCTAAAGCCAGGGGTCAGGATCTTCCTCCGGGTCTCCTCCTTAGGTGCAGGGTTTCAAAGCTTTGGGCCATTCTCTACTGCTTTCCCAGGGCACAGGTAGGGAGCTGGATGGAGAGTGGAGCATGAACTGGCACCCATATGGGATCCTGGAGCATTCAAGGTGAGAATTGAGTCTCTGAGCCATTGTGCCAGACCCCTATTCCTGATTTTCTTATTGGTGATGGAAACACAAGGACCCTCAAATATGTGTTGAAACATCAGCAAATGAGGGGCCAGCAAATGAGTGGCTAGCAGGCTAATGATCTGCGGTGGCACTGGCAACCGATATGGACACTGTTTCAGGTTCCATCTGCTCTGCTTGCGATTCAGCACCTGCTAACGACCTGGGAAGACAGAGGAGGGTGGTCTAAGTCCTTGGGCTGCTGAATCCACATAGAAACCTGGAAGAAGCTCCTGGATCCTGGCTTCAGATCGGCTCAGTTTTGTCTGTTGTGGCCATTTGGGGAATGAACCAATGGATAGAAGATATATCTCTTTCACTCTTTGTCTCTCCTCTCTATGAATCTGCCTTTCAAATAAAAATAAATACATCTTGAAAAAAAGAGGAGAGAGTGATAAATATGCTGGTGAGTTTAATCCTAGGAATGACCCTGAAACATGAAGATTATTGTTCATGGTTAATTGATCAGCAAGCAGCAGAAGACGATTCAAACTGTTGTCTATCACTTCAAAACTTGCGCCTTTACTATACTGCCTAACAGATTCTTATAAATTCCTAGGACTCTAGGACTAGAAACCAATGTAGACCGGACCTAGCCCTGCAAATCTAGGATTAGCAAGCAACAGTCCAGGGCAAGGATCAAAATCTCAGCCCAGTGTTGTGTCAGGCTTCGCGTATCAGTGTCTTTTGGTAAACTCACCTGAAGTTCTTTGCGGCAATGTATGCTCATTCCTTCAGTTAAACTGTAATGATACCTTCATATGTAAAAATCAGTTTTCATTTTGGGAGATCAGCAAATGAGTCCTTTCTGACTTTGAATTCTGTTATGTTTGTGGGGCAAGGGTGTTAGGCAGAGCTTAAAAATAGCTATAAGAAAAGTGTAAAGATGTGGGCTTCTGGTTTCAAATCCTGCTACTGCCATACTTATGTCTCCTCATCTATTTAATGGGAATATGCACACCGTGGCAGGCAACCAGGGTTGCTTAATAAGTGTCTGCTATTTCCAGAATGGATCCTGAGGCTCAGGGATATCTGAGATTGTGTTTCTCAGAATTGGGGAGCCCCAAGGAATGAGGCATCAGGAGAGAATTAAGACATCAGCCTTTCACCCAGAGGCAGGCTTATCTGTGGATTACAATGTCCTGGTTTTGGACATGGGAAATACCAGGTGAAGTGAGTGCTGAAATCTGCTAGGAGAAGACGATGAGGAGCAGGTGATTAGAGCCAACTTGTGTGCACATGCCAGTCAACTGTTGTCACAGCCTTTGTGCCTGTGGTACATGGCAGACACGTACTGCTGTATCCCAGGTCACCGTGATGGCCACTACCAGTGCTCCTGGTGCTTTTCATCATATGTCAAGGAACAATCGAATTGGTGCCCTTGACATTTTCACATCCCTGACCTTCAAAGAGGCCACCTCTGACCATGGCCAAACAAAATGCTCCCTCAGGTAAATGAATTTGTTCAAACTTTGCTCTCCTGGGCCTCAGCCCTTACCTACAGCAACAAGCAATGTGAGGTGGAGCCCCGCCCCTCAGGGCTCTGACTGTGAAAGGTTCTGACTCTGACCCGTGCCAGAAGGAGAAAGTTTTCCTCCCTTGTTGCCCAAGAAGATCAAGTGGAGAAGATCCTAGAGGTCATCTCATCCAAACACAATTGAAACTGACTCCTGGCTAATGGTTTGCACAACAAGATCAACGTGTGAATGCCTGGATGTGAAATTCTTGTGCTTTGGGTCTCAAAGAAGTTCTCCAATCCTTGATAGTGTAACCACCTGCAAGGGCACCTGAGTAATTAGCAAATCCTTCTAGTGCTTCCCACAGAGCTGAGCCCCTACTAGGCACTCAGATACTGTGTGCATAAAGAGGAGGAGGGAGACAGAGAACGAGGGAGGACTGGCAGGAGGAAGAGAGTTGGGAGGGAGGGCAGCAGATGTCTGCTTGATGTTCCCTGCAACCTTCCACTTACTCAAAGTGTAGTAGTCTCCATCAGAGGCCTTCACAGGTTTCCACACACCAAGAAAGTTCTCAAAATAAGGTGGCACACGGACGCTGGTCATGGGGACACCAATGGACCAGAAGTACTCCTCCACCTCTCCTTTGCTATCAAAGTGTGGCACGGTCAGTTTGCCCCCAGTTAGCTTATGGACGTACTCCAGGCTGCTGAACACCACGTGTTTCAGACCGAGGTGCTTGGCAACATCTGCCATCAGCTTCCCCTGGGAGACCAAAGTGAAACCTTAATGTGGGACCCTTTCTTTGTGTGCAGAGCAGAAGGCAGGGGCTGAGCCCTGCTTCCTCCTTTTCGTATCATCTGCATCTACATGGAGAGGAAGCACATATGGTATCAAAATACATCAGGTATGTTCTAAGAGGCCACCACACCCACCTTCCATCATCACACACATAGCAACAGTTCCCCATTCTCATCCTTCCTATGGGGTAGCTTGGGGCTAGGTTAATAGTCTTTGCTCAAACACAGCTGAAGCTGAACCCTGCTGTCATAGGCTTACATTTACTCTATACAGACTTTGATTTTCTCCATAACTCATCATTGTGGGCTTTTTCACTTGTTAATTTCTAAGTACTTGTTACTAATTGATCTCCAGATTCTCTGTCTGAAGTTTGGAGCTGGCATTTCATTCCATTTTCCCTCTTTCATGCTAGAGTAACCTCCATTTGTGTGGTACCCATGTGGCCCCTCCCTTCCACAATTAAATTGGAGGAGTGAGATTCTCATGAATGGCACAGTGAAAGAATCACATACACCAGTTTTTGAGATTTCATATATGCTACATAACATTGTTCTCACAATCAAGTATACTTTTAGCAAATGCCCAAAATACACACATTTCATAAATAGCACAGTGATGCTATGGAGTGACCTTCCCATTTTTGCCCAGACTGAGGACATGTCCTTTTCCAGGGAGGACAGGGTTACTAGAGATGGCAACAGGAGTGGACGCAGTAGAGTTTATTCGGTTATTAAGATGAAATAGCTGAAAGGGGGGAACCTTCATAACGAAAAGAGGCTTAATGAACTCCTAGATCTGGATGCTCTAGAGCCTGCATCTGGTACTGCCTTCCTGCTGGCAGAATCCCAGAATGCAGAACATCATGCAGCAACACGCAGGGAGCATGTGGGGGACTCCTCTAGGGTTTCTGCTTCTGACAAAGCACCAGGAGTCCACGACAGAGACTCCATCCTCATGCCTTTCCTACCTCTTCTCACATCAGAGCTCTCCTGCTGTCATCAGAGCTAGACTAAGCTTCCACCATCTTCACATCTCAATGTGGGGATAAACTTGAGCACCTGCACACCTAGGGAACACATTCCAGGCACAGCAGGCTCAAAGGGGCAGGAGGACACAGACAGCTGTTCACCTGATGCACTTCCCTCTCTTGGTCGAGATATTCCCAAAAGTTGGTCACCAGGAAGGCTCCATAGACACCTTTTAAAGCTGCCACTAAAGATGCTTCGTCATCCAGATCACATTTCACCACCTCAGCACCAAGATCCTTGAGCGCCAGGGCACTGGGTTTAGTCATATCTCTGGTCAATGCCCTCACTGCAAAATGCTTGCCATCCAAAAGGCTCCTGGCCACAGAGCCTCCTTGAGCACCTGTAGAATGAGGAAGAAAAGAAACATGGGAAGGATCAAGAGGAATGTTCACTGGCGCACATTTGCCAGCAAGGCCCTTGATGACATGGTGTGGCATCTCCTTCAGGAGGTACTCCCTGGTCCTTCAGGTTCCTCTCAGCCTTTTCAGACATATCGTTGCTCAAGCTATGGGATGACTAGTTTTGTCTCATGTGTATGTGTTAACTCCAAATTCTGACTGTTATAGTTTGGTGGATTAAGCACATAGATTTCCTCTACTCGTAGTGTTAGGGTGTGGATCAGCCAGGAAGCCTTCATTCAGGGGGAGGGCATAGATCTGGAGTTTTTTGGTTTTTTTTTGTTTGTTTGTTTTGTTTTGTTTTAATTTTTTTTTTTTTATTATTTTCTCATTGGAAAGGCGGATATACAGAGAGGAGAGACAGAGAGGAAGATCTTCCGTCCGATGATTCACTCCCCAAGTGAGCGCAACGGGCCGATACTATGCCGATCCAAAGCCAGGAGCCTCTTCCGGGTCTCCCACGCGGGTGCAGGGTCCCAAAGCCTTGGGCTGTCCTCTGCTGCTTTCCCGGGCCACAGGCAAGGAGCTGGAAGGGAAGTGGGGCTGCCGGGATTAGAACCGGCGCCCATATGGGATCCCGGGCGTGCAAGGTGAGGACCTTTAACCACTTGCGCCACCGCGCCGGGCCCAGATCTGGAGTTTTGAGCATTGACTGTTTGAGTTCAGATTTGGCCTCGCTGTTCTCACTCAGCTTCGTGTTTCGTACTGTGGTTGTGCCTGTGCTTCTACTGTGTCCAGGCTCCAGGAGGTGCAAGCTGGTGGGTAACTCCACACTGTAAACTCAAACAAACTTTTTCTTCTCCCAAGAAGAAAACAAGGAAACATTTTCAAAACTGATAAATATTTTAGCAGAAATAACTTCACAACATAAATAAGAAATTTTCCAATATTAGAGGAAAAACACAAAGAAATGGAAAGTAAGAAAGAGAAAACAATTAGGAGATGAAGACAGGGGCGTTCCAATGCAGGTATAAAGGCTCAAAAAAGAGATTATTTCTGAATGTGCTGTGCAGGGGTCATTGAGTGCCTGACTCAGTGACAAATAGATACAGTTCCACATCCAGGCCATCATTACAAAATTTCAGAACACTAAGGATGACAGGTTGCTAACTCCTGAGGCACAAAAATGTGGGATGGGGTGAGAGTTTGAATTATTGGTCAAGATTCCAGTTAGGATATTGATGTCCCACATTAGAGTACCTGGATTCAACTCCCAGCTCTGGCTCCTAACCCCAGCTTCCTGCTAGTGGACACATGCATTTCCCAAGGCCAAATACCCTCTTCTCCCAAGGACTCCAGACAGATTGCATTAATGTCCACCCTAATGGTACCATTTAACATGACTGTCTCCTTTAAAATGCTGTCTCCAAAAGTAGTCCCATTTTGACACACTGAGAACTAGGACTTCAAAATATGAATTGCAGAGAGAAGGACTGATACTGTTGTGACTTTTTTTTTTTTTTTGCACCTCCACTCCTGCAAAGCAAGGTACTGGATAAGAAAAGACATCTCGCTCTCTCTTTGCCTTGAAAATTAAACACAATAAAATATTCTTTAATTCCTGCAAGAGAGCCAGGAAGAAAGCAGAATCCTACTAGTGAGTATGTGAACACTTTGAAGACACCAAGGTGAAAACAAAATCTGAATCAGCAAAAATCAAACAACTAATCAATCGATAAAAATACATGAAAAAAGGTGCCAGGACAGTGGCCTTAAAAATCACCTGTGGTGCTGGCATCCCATATGGGCAGCAGTTTGAGCCCTGGATGCCCAAGTTCAGATCCAGCTGACTGCCAATGTGCTTGGGAAAGCAGCAAAAGATCACCCAAGAACTTGGACCTTCTACTTCTGTCAGACACTCAGACGAGACTCCTGGAAACTGGCTTTGGATTGGTTCTGTTTGAGCCGTTGCAGCCATTTGGTGAGCAAACCAGCAGCAGATGGAACATTCTCTCTCTGTTTCTCCTCCTCATTTAGTAAATCTGTCTTTTAAATTAAAAAAATACAGGAAAACATGAAGCTACTTGGACTAAAGTCTCCACAAATCTTAGGAAAACTACTGAATTAATCCAGAAGTCAGCCACTTTTAGTGAGACAGAGGGAGGGAGAGAGACACAGAGAAAGAGAGGTACTGCTTGACCCACTGAGATGATTTCTGAGAAATGAAGTGAAATCACCTGCCCCTCTTGGCATCAATGACTCAAGCACTCAGGAGTGTTGCCCAATTCCGTCAAAAGGTTTTGTTTAAGCCACACTTGCAAACTCTGAAGTTAGAAATACTGAGTCAGGAGGGTGAACAAAGTGGGCATACATAGTAAGATTTTCCTACGTGTTGCACCAAACACGGCAATCACTTTCTTGCTGGCCATGCTCCCAGATAAAGAAGGAGTTGTTGGAGACCTCTCCTCGGCACAGCAACAGCAGGTGCAATGCAGCTTTGCTCCTTGTACGAGTATTAAAAGGCACCTCTGATAACCACGCCCCTAATACTGTCCTTATCTGTAAATTACCTTGTTATTGGTTAGTCATTATGACTCCACAGTTTTTTATAATAATGTTTTCTTTCTTGTTTTCATTTTTATTATTATTATTTTATGTTACAGTTCCATAGGCTCTTGGATTACCCTGATCCTTTCCCCACACTGATTTTCCCTATATTATGACAATAGTGTAATTCTTCATAAACAGTCATAAGCCCATCATTGTGCAGATGAAAATGGGAGATACAGCATCCTATTGTCAAGATAAATTTAGTAGTTTCATTGGAAGTCCATCTTTGATCTGAAAGTAGAGATACAAACTCCATTTATCCTCACATCTGCATATGATAGTCTCCATTACACAGTTACTCTACATCCCCTTCAATGAAAAGCCACAAAACAAATCAACAACAGGAAGAAAAGTAGAAATTTACAATGGAAGGTAAATGCTACTGAACAACTAATGTGTCACTGAAGAAATGAAAATCAAGAACCTTCTGAAAGAAAATGATACTACCGTATGACCTATGAGTCAGTAAAAAATTTAATATGAGAAAGAATGTTTTGAAGAAATGAAAAGAAAATGAAAATAAAAGCAAAAATATCAAAATCCATGAGATACAATTTCCACTGATCTTTGTTGGTGAGACATGACCCCTGTAGGCAACAGATAAACAGGCTTTGTATTTTGACCCAGTCTACTAATCTACAATGTTTGATCAAAGAGTTTAAGCCATTTACATTCAGAGTTAATATAAATAGGTGTTAACTTGGTCTGTCATTTTAGCAATGGATTGTTCATTGTTAGATTTAATCTTCTATTCTTATTTTGCTGGGATGTGAATTTGCCTTTAGTTTAAGTATCATTTGTAGGTCATGTCTGGAAGAAGTCTCATCTATACTGTACAAGAATTTCATTTTATTTTCGAAGACAAAGGAAAGTTTTGCTGGGTACATTATTCTGGGCCAACATTTTTTTTTTCCTTTTTGAATCTGGAATATGTCCTGTAGTGTTTCCTTTGAGAGATCAGCTGTGAGCCTGGTTGCCATTCTACTAAATGTCAATTGATTTTTTTTCACTTGTGTGATAAAGGATCTTTTCCTTATGCTCAATTGAAGAGAGCTTGATTATCATGTGTCTTGGTGAAGACTGCTTTTGATTAACCCTGTTGGGAGTTCTGTGCCCCTCCTGGATGTTGTTTCCCAATCCTTTCTCCAAATTACGGAAGTTTTTCTTTATCATTTCATTGAATACAGCTTTAAACCCATCTTCTCTTTCTGCACCTTCTGGAATTCCCATAATTCTTACATTTGGCCTTTTAATTGTGTTTCTTAATTCTTGAATACTTTTTTTAGCTTGACCCAGCTCTGCTTCCAGCTTTTTGATTATTTTCCCATAGTCACAAGAACTGTCTTCCAATTCTGAGATTCTTTCTTTTGCATAATTTATTCTATTATTGAGACTTTCCACTGAATTTTTAATTTCCTCTACTGCATCCTTCATTTCCAATAATTTGGCTTGCTTTTCTTTCAGTGTTGTCATTTTCTGTGTGAGATATTACTTAAATTTCTGAACTCCTGCATGTGCTTCTCCATTGTTAATAAGAATCCTTAATGAGTTTTTTGAGTTATGTGCCACCCACTTCCTCAATATATTCCTCAGATAACTCTGAGGTTGGCCATGTGGGACTGTAGCACCCACAAACACACATGAGATCCAGGGGAAGAGGCGTTGAAAGCCTGGTAGAGGAGTAACAGGGACTCCCCTGCTGGGATACTGTCTTCACTGGTGAGCATGAGAACCAACACCATAGGCAGACCAGGACAGGCAGGAATTCAATACCTGTTGGCCTACATGTGAATTAGGTTAGGGGGAAAGAGCCAGGCTGGGATAATCAAATGTATCCACTGGTAGGTACATGCATGAGCCAGAGTAAGTGAGAAGCTGGGTGTGGCTTCTCTTATCTTCGCTTCCCTCAGATGCAGGAGGAAGGAAGGAAGGAAGGAAGGATGGAAGGAAGGAAGGAAGGAAGGAAGGAAGGAAGGAAGGAAGGAAGGAAGGAAGGAAGGGAGGGAAGAAAGAAGGTAGGAAGGAAGGAAGGAAGGAAGGAAGGAAGGAAGGAAGGAAGGAAGGAAGCGGGAGGGAGGGGAAAAGAGAAAAAGAAAGGAAGGGGGAAAGAAGTAAGAATAAAAGGAAGGGAAGAAGAAAAAAGAAGGAAGGAAGGAAAAGGAAAAAAGAAAGAATAAAAGAAACACTTTCCTACCTGTTGCTCCAAACACTGCAATTACTTTATTTTTATATTTTAATTCTTATTATTTAAAAAAAATTTAAATCAGATTTACAGAGAGAAGGAGAAACAGAGAGAAAGATCATCCATCTGAAGGTTTACTCCCCAAGAGGATGCAAAGGCCAGAGGTGAGGTGATCTGAAGCCAGGAGCCAGGAGCTGCTTCTAGGTCTCCCACTCAGTTACAAGGTCCACTTTGGACCTTCCTTGAATGCTTTCCCAGGCCATAAACAGAGGTTGGAAGGGAAGTGGCGCAGCCAAGATATGAACCCACATAGGATCCCGGCACATGCAAGGCGAGGGACTTTAGCCAATAGGCTACTGCAATGGGACGATAATTACTTTCTTATTGGCCATTTTTCCAGATAAAAAAGGAGTTTCTGGGGAGCTTTTCTCAGCAGAACAACAGCAGCAATACAGCTTTGCTTCTTGCATGAGAATTATAAAGCTCTTCTGATAACCACACCCCTAATATTACCCCAATCTATAAATTGCCTTGTTATGCTGCCTGGGTTAGTCATTGTGACTCTGCAGTTTTATAATGATGATGTGTCCTTTCATTCATTCACTGTCACAGTTGCACCACAGGTAATCCTCCACCTCAATTCTTGCATATAATGTGGACACCGGTTCTAGCCTTGGTTGCTCCGCTTTCCATCAGAATTCCTGCTTATGAATGGAAAAGCAGCAAAGGATGGCTCAAACGCTTGGGACTCTACACCCATGTAGGAGACCTGGAAAAGGCTCCTGGGAAAGGCTTGCGATCAGCTTAGCTTCAACCACTGCAGCAATTTCTGAGGGGTAGAGTAGGAGGTGGGGTGAACCAGAGGATGGAAGATTGTCTGGTCTGTGTCTCCTTCTCTCTGTAGATGTGCTTTTCAAATAAAAATTGAAATATAAGCAATGTGTAGAACAAAAATTTAAAAAAACATGTCCTGAGTGCCTTTGGTATACAAAAATCTAAATCTGAGATCCTATGATCTGTAGCATGTTCAAGAACTAAACTCATGAATAAATGAAACTTCAGTACAGAGGAACGGCAGAGGGGATGGAGAGACACAAAACTCATCCTGGAACGTGAAGCAAGGTTTGCCAGAGGGAATAATGGTAGGGCTAACCTGAAGATGCCATGAGTCACTGAGTCAGGGAACAGACATCATTAAAGGGACAAGAAGCCCACAGAGTACAGCTCAGAGGCAGGGCAATCCTGACTCTGGGCTCATGATGGCTTGGCAATGCTATGGGAAGGGCACAGAGGAGACCTCTTAGGCTGACAGAGACTAGCACACAAAGGGCCCGGTAGGCAGAGCTTGGTTCATCCAACAGTCCCAGCAGATTGTATGTGATTTCATGGCCACAGACTGATGGCTGGGTTGAAATAAGGCAATGCTAGCAGCTGAGACACTCTTTAAGGAGACTGCAGAAGTGATGTATGGGAAACATGCTGAGGGCTTGAACAGACATGTTAGAGGTTAAGCTGGGTCCCTTACAATTCACCTTGAAGTCCAAATATTGCCACAGATAGAGATTCTTGTCCCTCAATGAGAAAAAAATCAGATGTATGACAGATCAGTAGTGAGCAAGCTAGTAATGTTTAATGAAGAAAACACACCCTCCAGGGCAAGTGAGCCACTCAGCTTAGAATGAAGCGTCCAGGCTATATTCAGCCTGATTTATTTTAAAGATTTATTTATTTACTTATTTAAAAGACACACTTGTAGCAGGGGATGAAGAAGAAGGAGGAGGAGGAGAAAAGAGATCATCTATCCACTGACTCACTCAACAGGTGGGCCCCAAGGACTGGAGCTGATCCAAGCCAAAGCCAGTGATTCCGTCTGTGTCTCTCACACAGGCAGCAGGGAACAAAGTACTGAGAATATCCTATATAGATTCCCCTCAGTACATTAGGTAGAAACTGGACCACAAACATTGCGGTCATCACTGGAACATGTGCTCTTATATGGGATGTGGATGTCTCAAAACAGTTGCTTAATCCGCTGTCCCACTACAATACTGACTCCAGACTGGGACTTTGAGGGGTATGGAACACACGTTTACCCTCTGTCTCTCCCCTCCCCACCCACTGTGGAATATTGTTGGATAAGTCTATCGAGGCATAAAAATTCTGGAATTCCCTTTGGAGCTTTACCAGCAGTATGATAGACTACATTCTCTACCATCCAGTTTTGACTGGTACTGAAAGGTTGAATTGGATGCTGGGTAGGTGGAGCCTAGGACTAACACACATACACACACACACATACCATATTGCATAGGGCCAGTAACTTTTTAATGATTTGTTTATTTTATGTGAAAATCAGAATTACAGAGAAAGGCAAAGATGAAGAGAGAGAGAGAGATTTTTTTTGTCTGCCAGTTCACTCCCCAAATGGCCACAACAGCCTATTGACACTACGATCCTGGAGCTTCTTCCAGCTATTTGGAAGGCACATGGAACTCAGGGTGCAGGCACCCATGACCTTGAGCCATCTTCCTTTGCTTTCCCAGGACATTAGCAGGGATCTGAATTACAAATGGAGCAGCCAGGATTGAATTGGTGCCTATAAAGAATGCCAGCTCCACAGAGACATAAACACTGGGT